TTTACATGGTAAGAAGATTAACGTTCATATACTTTATATGTAAGTATGATTAGAAAGATGTCAAATATTGCATTATGGAGAAGGTACTTGTCTAACCACTGGTAACCATGGAGACAATACCCCACCGTCATGTTCATGTAGCCTAGCATACGGAGAAAAACTGGTTAGCGTCACGTCTTCTGTACGTTTTTAATGTCGCTCCGGTGTAAAAGTAAACGTTGTTTATGACATAGTGACAAAAATAATGCGGTGTGAATTCAGGTAAAATCGGTAATTTGATTAACACGACATGAGGGAGGAAGTATGGATTGGTTTGTAAGCTAGCCATGTCAAGCTTCTGTAAATACCGCTGTTTATAACCCTCAAAGGTGTGTTATGCTCAAAGACAAATAGCTTGACTCAAACAAGTAGGAGCGATGAGTAAAGGGACAAAAACAACGTGGGAAAATCACTTCAGTCGATCAGTTCAATTCTGCCTTTCCTCACTTCCGACGTCCATCATGGCGCCGCGAACGATTATGTGACGTAGTTGCAAAGGGCCAGTAACAAATATTAGTTTCACTTTTTAAAATCAAATAAGTGAAATAAATGATGATTTTAACTAACTGAGATGTAGCTGCAATGAGGAAAGTAAAATCCAGGTATGATGTGAGAAAAGTTTTTTTTCCTTTATCACGTCTCTTCCAGCTGCATTACAGTATGTGATGTGTGCTTATGGGCTGATGGCAGAATCATTTGTTATTAGCGTGAATATGCAATCTAGAACTGGTCTCCTTGACAACTGAGAGGACATCTGTCATCTCCATATGGAGAGACAGACAGAAACTCTGAAAGGCAAAATGATTGCTTTCTGTTGCAAATAAATTAAACTACTAAGCATTTCAACACAATGCCACACATTGAATTGTAGTGATTTTAAAAGCAAATACGTGGAAGGTAAATAGATCCTCTTACTCGGGTGTAATTTAATCAAAATAGCAACAGTATTTATTTTACTATGAACTGTATTTTTTTTAATTCAAGTAGTAGTTCCAATTATTTCAGTGGCAAATAAAGTTGATTGAAGACTGATGAGATGGAAGTGATATTACCCTGAATCTTTTCTAAATATCGTCAGGATTTTCAGACTAAACAGTTGTAACATTTTACTACGACTCATTACAAATGTAATTGAACAGAGAGATTGCTTTCGGTCTCATCTGGTAGTTAATATGAACGGCACGCACATATTTCCACTCGTACTTGACAAATTCCCTCAGAGCCAAATGGTTCCAACACATGGAGCTCCAACAACAGATGATTCACACACACACAAAAACGGGATGGTTTATCTTTTTCAAATTCCTCTCTTGCGTTTCGATACAGAAACTTTCGCAGGAAGTTTGATTCTTTTATCCGACAGTCGTTCGTTTTCCAGCTGTTGGGGGCACAAAGTCAGGGAGCCTCAAACTGTAGAGGGGTCGGCACTAAAAACTCATTACATGGACGATCAATACTGCACACACTTGAGAGCCGAGTGTGTGACTGGTCCCCCAGCACACACACACACACACGCCCACGCGCTCTCTCTCTTTCTTGTGTGTTTCATCACCCAGTGGCGATGGTGACAGATGACTTTTGTCAGCCTGAAATGTGTTACCATGGTAACCATTAGGTTATATTTTGGTATCCTACAGCAGGGGAGCCCAGCTGACACACACACAGACACACACGCAAGCAAACACACTTAAACTGGAGATGGTCAGAATAAAATGCTACAGCTCAGTATTTCAGCAAATTACAGCACACTATTTGGGCTTAAATAACTCCACAAGAAAATAACATTTTCTTAAGTAATAAGAAAGGATTAAAATAAATAAATAACTTCCTCCAAACTGATTCACTTTGAGTTTTGGAGTCGCTGATTCCTCAATGATGCTATGCTAATTGTAATTGGCAGTAATATATAAATACATGTCTAAATTCACATTTCTGTTTGTTCTATTTAATTTTATGAATGATCATTCAAGAATTTATTCATACACCACAATTTAGAAATATCTTTACACAGTTGTTCTAACTTTCACTGCTAATTTTCTTTCTTTATTCGCTGATTAAGACACAAGCTTTTAATCCAGACATAGATCTAGAATTTACTGCAACATTTTAAAGTAGTCTTAATTAACGTTGCTGCAGGCTTTTTGGAAATTATATATATTTTTAGAAGTTTTTATTTGGGTTGCTTTTCACAAATTGTCTACTTTCATTTGTCTAAAAAAGAGCAATTTTCTTTCAGTTCATAAAGGCGTGAATGATTCACAAACTTTCAGCAATATAGAGGCTTCTCTGGGAATGAACCAGTGTTTTCTATATTTAAGACAGCTTTGGAAACAAGAAGTATTTTATCTGTACTTGTACCCCAGTACAAAACCCCCCAATCAATTTTAACTAACTTAATAAAATCTATTTTTTTTAAAAATCACACATTAAGACACAAAATTGTATTTTTAGTACTAATGAGGTGACTCCAGAAGAGCTAATTGCTAAAAATGTGTCATAAATTAATCAAATCATAATTAGAAAATCAACATGTGATCTACATCAGGATTTTTCGTATTTTAAGTTTAAAATAGTTAGCCTCCAATTCCTGTTCTAATCTGACACGCAGTGTGGTCATCCACTTCAAGAGTCAACATATTTTACACTCAGATGATATTCGTGATTGTAACAATTGATTATCTGAGATACTATTTTACTCAAACGTATACCTATGAAGAGTAAAATCAGACAAAATGATGACCTTAAGAGATCTCTTAATTTTTCCCAGAGCTGTATTTTTAATGTTTTATCCCTATTTAATGACAGGTAATGTTTTAAGTGTTGAATTCAACCTTTTCTGAGTTTTAAGGGAAAAATAACATGGCAGAGAAAGAGAAGCCATCGTGATACCTTTCCGAGGCCGGGCGTATCTTTGATCTTGTTTGCTGCTCGAAGAAGACAAGGTGGAGCAGGTGGAGGCATCGTCACCAAAGCAGAGCTGAAGTTAGTCGGGAACAGATGAGGGTCGCAGGACGAGGACGGAGATGATGTCAGAGGGGCTGCAACCGTGGTGGTCTTCTGTTTCTTCTTCTTCGATGTCAAGTTCAACTTTTGAGCAGCTCTGAGGGAGAGAAGCAGTTACCTCCATTAAATGATTAGAATACTGGGTTAAAATCAGACGTAAGAACTCACTGAATTTTATCTAAAAAACTTACATTTCAACATCGGACAACACAGGTTTTATAATGGCAAAGGGGTAATATTAGTTTGTGTACAAGTTTGATTTTTGTTGTGTAGTTTCTCTAATTGACTGTCAGAATTATGCATATAAGCTTAAATGGTCACATACACCACAACTGTTTTCTATTATAAATTTAATATATTGGTTCATCTTCCCTTCACCTGAAAACCTTCATTACGACGCTTTAGAAATCTTACCGTCTTTGTACTCTGCAGTGGTTTTGGGGCATTGAATGTTTAATGCACACTACAGAGTACAAAGACAGAAAGATGCTATTTTATTCCTTGCACCAACTGTAACTACTTTCACATCCAGCTGCTCTATCACAAATTGAACACAATGAAAGTCCACTAAAACAGCTGCAGCAGGGCTTCCTGCACGGCTCTGCTTTAACCCACATATTTAATTTAGAGAACATGTAAGGAGAGGAAGAAAGAGTGAGAGACCTTCTGCCCTGATACACTCTCTGTCAAGAAGCTGTATTCTCACACCATTGGCTTTCAATTAACTGCAGCAAGTTTCAGAAATGAGAGTGAGGGAGAGAGTCAGCAAAAGGAGAGTGGGAGAGGAAGGGAGATGCGAGTCAAGTGACCCGTGTTACGATGAAGCACTTCACCATTTGACTGGCTCTCCCTGGAGATTTGTGTGTGTGGATCCCTGTGTGTGTGTGTGTGTGTGTGTGTGCGTGTGTGTGTGTGTGTGTGTGTGTGTGTGTGGATCCCTGTGTGTGTGTGACTGCACACAGCGTGAAACAAACCTCCATGAGAAGACCACTAATTGGGATTTTTTGAGGGTGCAGACTAAGCTTATGCGCTTGAAATGCGATCAAAGGCAATTACAGGTTTGTATTATGTTGGTGAAATGTTCAAAACCTCCCCATGCATCATGTGAAGAAATTTATTGAAACCTTTTTGTCTGCTGCAGGATTGTATTGAAATCGGTTTACATGCTTTGTCGAATCACGGGAGTTTTTAACGCATTAGTGAATTTATTTTCTCTATTCTGCGTTTCATTAATATTGTATGTGATTTCTGTGCTATCAATGAAATAAGGGGGTGCTGCAGTGCTGCTGATGGTTGCAGTAAGAGGCGTGACAATGATGGATTTGTTCACTCTGCTGCATGGGATTCCTGCTTGTAACCTGCATGCATTTTCTTTTTTTCACTCTCACTACAAAAATGCTTAGCTGGGACTGTTCACAGCTAAACAAAAAAAATAATATATTATTCTTCTTACAGTTTTCTTCTGGTAGGAAACATTTGGGTTTCAGTTTCTGAAACGTTTTCTCTTCCTCAGTGATTCAATCTATGGATAAATTTAAGTAGCAAACACTCAAACAATAGCTGGTAATTGGTGGTGTGGGATTTGGTTAAGTGGATCTTTTTCAAACTAACCGTAAAGTGAACTGTAGTTGTTTTACATCACTCAGCTCGATCAAATCATCAGCTCCTCTCTGCCTTTTCTGTCCTTCGTTCCTTCTTGGGCTCCACCATCCTGAAACCCTTGGTTTCATTCTCTCACTCATTATTTTTCCTCTCCATCCTTTCCACTTCTTCGCTGCCCTCCATATATCCACTCATCCTTTCTGAAGAGCATCGATTTCCTTCAGCACCGACCGCCTCTTCTCCCCTCGTAGACTTCAGGTATCTGTCTCTTGTTAGAAAGCATCAGAGGTCGGCTGGTAACAAGACGTTGCTTTGTTTTCTTCCTCCTCGCCGGCAAACATAAACAGCTCTGCTGATTGATGGCTGGTATCTCCTGGCTGTGCTGTTGGTTCAGTGGTTAATTACTTTCTGTTTAGCAGGCCATCAATGGAAGAAGATGTGAGAGGAGACAGAGAGTGATGGTGGACATGAGGACGGGAGCTTTTGTGTCGCATTAGGTCAGAATGGCTGTTTAGCATGGACAGAAGACTGACTTTACTGATATTATCTACTGACATGGACATGTGGCTAAAGAAATGACCACATTTTGTTGGAAATGATGGGGATTACTGTTGTAGCTGACTGATATGGTTCTGTAAATTACAGGTTAATTCAAAGGCGTGAGAGGATTCTGGATATTTCTAAAACAGAATTGCATTTGCAAGACTTTGTAAGGATAAGAATATTTAGCTAATGGATTGATTGCAAGATCAGTGATTACATTGATGATCCCACTGATAGAAATGAGTTGTTTTGAGTAAAATCAATTCTGATTCCCTGCTGTTTCTACAAGAAAAAAGCAAATGCTTCCTGAATAATTAAAAAACGGGAAAAAAAACTATAAATACGTCAACTGGATTCTCTCCAAAGTAAGAAAAAAAATCTTTCATGGTCGAATTTGGACTTTCAACAGAAAATGTTACATTACAGTACACACTTTTGGAAAAATGGTTTCAGTGGAGGAAACTTTTTTGAGTTTGTCCTTCTTCTTCGAGGTTCTGTCATTGCCGTTCCTCTCTCAGCTTGATGTGCCAGTAGCCCACATTTAGTCATTTGGCTTTAATTTTGGCGGGCCCACTTCCCGTGTTGCCCCAAAATCTCCAACTTCTTTAAAGCCGTCTCCACTGTGATTGCGGTGTGCTCTGATTGGTGTTTGCAAACTCAATTACCTGAATTTGTGGCGCTGCTAACATTGGGAGTCTGCCATTGATAATGGTTCTGTCTGCTTGAAAAACTCCAATTTCTGATTCAGTTCAGGTATTTGTGTGGGTGTTTCCTCACTGTTCATTACCCCATAACAGATTGGATAGAAGTAAAAACTTCACCAAGTGAAGTCGGTTAGTTTGGAGGTAAAGTGGGAAAGTGAAACAACAAAAGGCACAATGATTGAGGCTAGATTAAGCAAAAGTGCAACATTTATTTGCATGCTGTGTGGCAGTAAAATGGCTTTTCTTGGTTGTGTGAGCAAAAATCAAAACAAATGTATACTTCATCTGATCAGATGACTTCTCCTTTTTTTTGTCCCATCTGGCTGGATCATCAATCCACCAATTTGACGGGTGGCTAATTTGTTTTCATCTATCACTAGCGGAAACCGTTTTCCTTAAATAACACAAAAAAATGTCAGCAAGAATTGTAAAGGGTCAGAAAAAGGGACAGCAGCCCACATATCTCTGCCATCCTCCATCTAAAATTACACCTTCCCAATTCACCAACTCACTTGGGGCCAATTCATTTACTCAGCTGCCTCATGCAGCACACACACAGCCAGCCAAATCCCCGTAGATCCGATCCTCGGAGCATGCAGTTAAAAAAATTCCTGCGCTGATAGAAACTCCCTCCCCCTTGTGAGTAAGAGCATGCCCACACCGCAGCAAGTCTCTATCCCAGTGTCCCCAGAGGGCCGCTGCGGCTCGGCGAAGATGTAGAGCTGCTGTGCAAGTGTGACATATTCCACAGACAGATCACCACTAATGAAAGATATTACTCAGATATGCATTAGTGTGGAGGTAAAGGAAAGGTCAGTGTGGGAACAAAGAAGGTGTGGGTGAAAGAGAGGACAGAACAATGGGAGAGGAGGAGAGCAATTAAATGAAAGCAGGAGAGCTGCATGCTGAGGAGAAAACAAGAAAAGGAGACAGACAGGGGAGGCAGAGGAGAAATAAAGGAAGACAGGGGATCAGGTGAGAGGACATGGAGTGGACACAGGGATTTGGCAGTGTGCAGACAGCGAGCCCAGCGAAGATTGTGTTTGTGTCTGGATGCAGCCCACGTCTAAGAGTGAAGACCGAGACCTGCATGGGATTCACCAGCTCTGCAAGGCTGATTTTACTGACTGTAAGCACAGGCTAATAGACAAGTTCACAAACATTCCCGCATCATCCCACCCAAAAATAAAAATACAACAGAGTGCATGCTTTCCCAACTAAAACATAAAATCTTACAATGACAAAAGGGAGAGAAAACAAGCACAACAGACACACATGAGTAGATCTGAACTGGTTCAAGATTTTATTTTACGGTGATAGGAATTAAATCCGTAACATTTTTCTTTACAGTTTGTAGTGTTTACATCCATTTCTCTGGTTACTTAGAGAGTTAAGTAGCACTCTAGCATTTTGCAAGCTGTCTCATCTGTTTAATCATCAAATGAGGGGCTTTCTATCTCAAACTAGGCCTGGAGACAAATCAATAACTCTATATATATATATATATATATATCAATATCAATAAAAACTATCTGATAGGATTTTCAATAATTTCACTGAACCCCGATCCAGAACCGCACAGCATTCTGGGGGATGTAGGCAGAGGAAAGACTTTAGCCGCTCAACCTCTCAAAGCAGCTAAGCAAGATTGGTGAAATCAAACAACTTTCTTGCTCTTTGGTTACCTAGCAACAACTTGTGGAGTAAGTTGTGGTTACCTAGCAACAACCTGTTGAGTAACTGGCGGAGCAGCAGTTTGAGGTTTACCTCCGTGCTTTAAAACTGTTTAAAAATAAAAAGAGGAAATTGTGGATGAAATGTGAAAGGTTATGCCACTAGTTTGGCAGTATTTTAGATATTAAAAAAATACTCAATAATTATCAACTGAAATGAAACCCTTATATTGCGACACATTTTTCAGCCTTACCTTCCATTTTGTCTTTTGCAAAAAGACAAAATGCAGTGTTTGGAAATTTGTGTTGCTCATAATCACTTCTGCATCAATAGATTTTAACAGCAGTAGTTGCATTCCTGTACTTTTAAACGAAAACAGTCAGATTGCTTTATACAGTTTTTAATTCATTAAACTGTGCTATCTTTGACCATACAGTCAGACTCTTATACCACTGCATGTCCGTAAAACTCTGGACACTGTAATGGGAGTCCACGTGTCTAAGCAATCTGAGTTTGTTTTTTTTTTAAGCTCTTACAGCTGGATGTTTTTTATAATGTAAACCAGATGTGTGTGTTTGTGTAAAACAGCCTTTGATATTTGACAGCTCAGGGGGCTGTAGAGAGGAAAGATCAAGAGTGTGTGTTTAAGAGTGTCCTTGTGTAATTTGGACCTCTGACAGACAACATTATGTCTGCTACGCTGAAGCGCAGCAGATGAATATATCAGACAAATGCATCTAATTATGTGAGGATGAACAGCAGAGAAGAGGTGTGAAAGCAACAAAGGGAAACCATCAGTATCATTTAAAATGTGATTTGAAGCAGTTCATTAGTTATGACGGACCAGCGATCCTTCAGATACAGTGAATGAATAATTCACTTGTTCATTTTGAGTGTGCCATGTTTTTCATCCGTGTTACGTTTGTTATCTCGCTAAGCTTTTTTCTAGACTAATAATTACTTTTACCAAGAAATCATTGTCTAATTTTGTTTTTTATTGTTTTAATTAAACTTTTGTTTTTCCAGACTGACTGACGTTTGACATATGAACCTTTGGTGGATTCAGTCTGGTAGATTTAGGTCTGGAGTGTCTCACTGTACCTGGCGAAGAAGGAGGCAGCTGCAGAAGTGGCAGTCGGTGCCGAGGTGGTTACAGCCGGCGTGTTGGAGGGAGAGTTTGTGTGTGACGGAGAGTTTGCGCGCGCAGGAGAGTGAGAGTTGTAGCGGTTCAGGGCCGCTTCAGTCCCTCCTTCTCTTGAGGCGTCAGAGATCATCTGGGAAATCTGAAACAAAGAAAAGGAGATTCTTAATGCTTCACAAAAACGAGAGCCGTTTACAGAGAAAAACAAAAAATTTAAAGGTAAATTACCTTTAAATATGTCCAATCTACATTGACAAATCCTCCTGTTCTTTATTTTTGTTTCTAGGAAAGAAGTTAATCTGTCTGTGAACATTTGAACACCTCAGTAAAAACCTCTCCCTTTAATACAGTGTGTGTTATTAATAGTTGACTGACAGTAGATACCCTATGTATTGATCAGCAGTTTGTTAGTTCCAGATGAAACAAAACAAAAAAAATCACAGCACCCTCCTGGTTCGTCTCATATGACCCTTTGTTTAGTTTGCAACGGATTTTAAAACACACAGAAAGTTGTATTAAAACATATGCAACGCAATAACCAGGTACACGTGACAGTATCATCAGCTATGTCTGAAAAATTAAGAAGAATGAAAAACTGCGGTGATCCACAACCCAGATCTCCGGGAATCATCCTGCATGTTTAAATACATCCCCGTCCATCACAACTGAGTCAAATGATGCATTCAGTGTCTGCACAAAAGCCTGTTAATGACCCATTCATTTAAATCTAATGTATGCCAACAGAGAGACATCTAAAACATACAGGATATGGGTCACTTTGGACCGGGGTTAAGAACCTCTATAGTAGTACACTTTGCACTGACGACTAAACAGAAAATTCTTTCTGCTAATGATGAATTGGTTGTCAAAGTTTTGCCAAATTAAAGTATATTTTCACTAAGAAACATAAATCCAGGTTCCCTTTATTGGTCGTACTCCCTTCCAAAGCCATTTGAAAGTAAGAAACATAAGTCTTTCTGCAGGACGTGTTTTTAAATGTACCTGTGTAGGATTAATATAAAATACTGCCAAAGGATCTTCAGACTGAAGTAATAAATGCCTCTCTTCCCGACTACATGTCCACACACACACACACACACACACACACACACACACTGAATAACGTGCTACTTCTCTCGTGTGTTCAGGTGAATCATTTATGTCACAGGTGTGGGTTATTGATAACTACTCTTTATGGTCTGTCTAATACCAGACAGCAGAGCACCTGAATTATACCCAAATACTTCAGTGGAGGAACTCTCTGGAGTGGGTTGTGTGTCTTTGTTTGTGTCCTTGTGTGGCTCAGTGTCTGCACTTCTCTACATTGGTGCGTAAATCAGCTCAGCTTGACGTATATTTACTGCCGAGGCTCCTGGGGTCGACGCAGGCTGCCCACTGCTTGATAGATGGCCTGTTGTAAATAAAATCCCTGTGCAGTTTGTATACAAATACAACTTGTTTGTGGTTTTACTATATTCAAATACTCACACTGTAAAAGCATTTAGTTGTGTCTACTGTCTTCTGCTCGTTAAGTCAAATAAATTTGACAAGTTTCAGATTTTGAACCTAAATGTTTGAGTTTGTGAAAGATAAACTTACAGTAGTAGGTTGTGTTAACTTTTTATTAAGAGTCGAATAAACTACAGGTTTTAGGTTAGCACTTAAAAAACTGAAAGAAGAAAACGACAGGAGTGGGAACTATTTCCCAGAATGCTTAGCAGCTTCTTTTGTATCCTGAGATGGAAGTGTGTTACATTGTTTTGACTCTGGTGTTAAGTTTGCAAAGCTTGAGGATAATGTCTTGTTCACTCTAAATGTTTTTAGCAGAATTCATTGTGATGTTTAATAAAATTTGTCAGATCTGAAATTTTGTTCATGCAATTTGAAACAATAATTTAAATATATTTAAAGTTAAATAAGCAGTCATTTTAACTTGATTTTGTGAGTGAAAACAGTAGCAAAATGTGGCTCTTTAACCAGGTGAGGACAGTTTTTATTTGCGTGATGTGAAGTAAATATTTGCTTCAAATTGCAGCATTAAGTTAAAACTCTTAATTCTAGATTAATGACCTTAAAACAATGTTTAGTCAACATGTCTCTTGTTGTTAAATCAACTTCATGAACTTTAATTTCTGAGTTAAAACCAAAACAATTTTCTTGTTAAAACGAAGCCGTGAAATCTAAAATAATTGATTGGTTCTGTACAAAAAAACTGGCAAACTATTTAAACTGCATGCAGGTTTCTGCCTGAGAAGCCATGGTAATAATCATCTGGCTTTTCATGCCCAAAATTATTCATAAACCTGCCAGATTTAGATTTAAGATTATTTCCATCCAGCAAAGAAGTTTGTTTGTGATGGAAATGGTATTTCTAAACAGTTCATAAAATACTGTAAAATGACTGGCAGCTAAAAAAAATTAAAAACTAGCATGCAAAAACTTATTTAGAACCTTCCCAATAATCAGTGGAAAAACCTTTAGGGGTCAAAGCAATAAAACCCTTCTAATAATTCCAGTTGGGGTTTTTTTTTCTTGTACCGTAACCATTTATTTTTGGTGTTAATCTGCAACTCTCTCCACAGACTATATTAGATTCAGGTCTGGACTCTGACTTATTAGTTCCAATCAGTAGAAAAATATTGGTCCAATTAAAATTTTACTTTAAATCTAAAACGTCCGGAGTATGAATACGTCAGGGTCTTGGTGGATTTAACTTTTCTTAATACACCAGCTGAAAAGTTTCCTATTACTGCTTTACATTTGTAATTTTCACCACATGACAGTAGATTAAAGATTAAACCAGAATAAATTACTAAATAAATGAATCTCCACTCAGAAATTCAACATAGAACATCCTTAATATGACGCAAGCTGATGTGTTACTGAGCTACAATGTTTATCCTGCATTCCCCCTGGACTAATCTGGATACAGTGTGGCTCCGCAGAAATACAGATTATATGGGTTTTTCTGGTTGCAATCTGAAGAAGACATTATAACCACAATGGGAGCTTAGAGAGAGAGAGGAGTTAAACACATTGATGCTTTAAGCTAAATGTAAATTGATACACAGTACTCTGTGCAGCAGCTGCAGTCATTGAGCAAATGATTTGATTCAGGCGTTTTGAAGGAATGCATCCAAAAGTTGTATTAAAATGTATCAGACCACTTTACTAAAGAATGAGAAGACATTTTACAAGATTTCTAAATATTAGACAAAAATTTACCTTTTAATCAAGTATATTAGGTTGTAAACATATGTTTGTTTTTCATGAGATGTAAAAATCTGTTTTATTTTGGAAATAAATTATTTATCAGCTGTTTCTCTCATTCATCATGTCCAGGATCAGTCCTGGACACGATGTAAGATTTTTATGTGTACATGGGTTATGTTATGAATAATTATATAAAATAAGAATAAGTTAGCACTGAGCCGGTCATTGGCAATGACTGATGCGTTTTATATTTGGTTGTCGGCATTGAAAGTTTATATGGCTCCTTTTTAAGAGTACATTTAAAACATTCGAGTCCAACTTAAGGCCCTAATCAAGTTGTTCTCATGATGGGAAAACCTTCCAGATATTTATTTAATTAAACTTTTTTTTTGCAAGTGGAACAAATTCCTAGTCTTCCTGCAACCCAGATTTGTTTCCAGGCTACACATTTAACAAATCAAAGTTTCCATGGTTAAGATTTTAGTATTTTAGAGGTTTTTCAGCTTTTCTTAATTTGTTAATTATTTTTCAGGTTTAACCTTAAGTCTTATTTTCTTGACAGGCCTACTGAAACAATTAGAAATGGATATAGTGAAATACAGAAGGAAGTAAATAAAAATTAATTGCTTCAATATATTGGTATTAATATTGATATCAGTTCACACATAATTTTGAGTCAGATCAATCAATCCATACCAAATTTGGCAAAAATCAACTTTATTGATGTTAAACAATTAGATATTTAGATTTGATTACATTTTAGTAAAGCCGATGGGGTTGTTTATTTTTTGTTTTATAAAGTACAGTTCCTGATTTATTGCTATTTTCATTTGGAAGAGACACAATGAGGGCAAAAGGATAAAACATGTCTTATTATCCAGTCAACAAAATACCAAATCAAAGAAAAAATCCGAATCAATACGTATTTTTCTTTCTTTACAATTATACTTGATCCATTTTTTCTCATCTCTGCAAAAAATTAGAGCCACGACTTTAATCATTTTTTGTTTCCTTTTATGAAACCAGATGAGCAAATGATGAACTAAGTAAATTAGCCGAGTAAGCACAGGATGCAAATTTAATTAACCTTACATTATTTCTGTATTGACTCAAATCTACCAAAGCAAATGTTTTCAGACTGTTGGACTGAAAACACTTACACAGATTAATTAGTTTAATCTTAATAGTTTGTTTTGTCAGGGTAATCTGTTGACATTAGAAACTTAATCAGCAGAATGCAAACCATTGCATTTTGTCTTAATGCTGTATATCATTTATGTCCAGTGCAAATTGTTTAAAGATTTATCTAGAATACTACAAGAAACTTTGAATTCAGACTAAAAGACACTTATTGCTGCTTCACATCTTTCTGCTTCAGTCTGGAAGTTTGTAGAAACTCTAATCTGTGATTTTCAGTCGTCTAATTTAATTTCGTCAGCACAGAAACTGGTTGAGTAAATTGTTTAAATTTGTCTTCTAATGTACAACTGGTTTCAAACCCAAACATTTCTTGTTATCAGTTGTCTGTATTATTGATGTGTGAGCTTGGTGTTGCTAAGGGAAAGAACAGTAGTAAGAGTAGAAAAGAGCGAGTCTATTCACCGCACATCTGTCCTTGGTCTGTCTTTTTTGTGCCAGAAGAAATACAGTAAATCTTTCAGAACATATTAGAGGTTGTTATCTGTTCTCTCAGGACCGATTTCTCTGGTTACAAGAGCTTGTAGTGAACAGCAGAAAAGCTTTTGTATTGATTTCTAAATAAATGGTCGGTAGGTATAAGAGTGCAAAATCACTAAGGTTTTTTTGTGTGCAGTAATATACCCAGATGCATCTTGGAATCATCTTACTACAGATTCATTACATATGTTTTATGTGCTTATCTTAATATTGATGATCATGAAGAGCAAAAAATCAGATACTAAAAAACAATTTGAATTTTACCTAAAAAGGATTTCTAACACAGAAATATGCCACTGACAACTTTGCTTATTTACTTTAAGGAATATTCACCCAGTACTTGGTCAGGGCTCCTTTTGCTTCAATGCATAAATTATTTATTTACATCATGGAAGTAATCAGCCTGTGACTTTGTTGATGGGCTCAGATTGCTTTCATAATCGCTGTTGGCTTCTTGAAATGGTTGAGTCTGGTTAACACTGGTTACTGGTGAGTTACGCTGACACCACTAACAGCCCATACTTTACAGCTCTGCAGTTGGTTTAAAATGGCTCCATTTTATTACATTTAAATCAGTTTTTTATACTTTTGTATTGGACTGGTTACTAAAACCAGATTTTAGCGAAATGCTAACTTTTATAGCCTGGCTTTTCACAAAGAAAAGAGGCTGTATAACCTGGCTGGAGCAATGATACAAACAGAATATAAAATTATTTACTCATTAAAGTAATTGTTCCTGTGTTTGTCTTCATGAGGTCATTAAGGTTGTTCCTTTCAGATTTCCCCACAGGAAAGGCTGAGCTGCTGTCTATATCTTCTGGTAAATTAGGTTGTACACTGGATGAAATTTTAATGATTCACATGAGGAAATGTAGCTACAGCAGCAGAGAAGCACCAGAAACAATAGAGACGTGAGGAAATACAGGGCCAAACGTAGTGAAAATAATGAGCTCAAAACCAAAGCAGATGAGGAGAGTTTCACTGGTCAGCTGGTCCAGAGACCGGCTGGGATTTGATGAAATTCATGAAGGATTTCTAGAGGAAGTAAAGCTGGTTTAAAAAAAAAAGAAAAGCATGGACTCTGTCAGTCTTCCTTTTACAGGACATCGTTCATCCACACTGTTGGTAAAAATGCCCTCATTCATCTTCATAACAACATGGCCGCCGTTTCCTACAGCATTTGCTCTCTTCACCTGTCTCTGGTGTAGTTTGTGTTTCAAGGGTAACGGTAAAACGTGTTTGTGTGTCTACAGATGTGTGTGCTCCTGTTTGCTAAATGCAGGAAGAGGAGAAACAGTCACTTTTTTCAGAATTAATCTGGATCTAACGGTTTGTGAAGGTGGGACCAAATAAAAAGCATAGAAAAGTGAAAAATTACAAACAGCTCGTCCTCATAAATTGTTTTGAATATGCTAAAATAAAATCCGGACTGCACCGTATGGAGGCTAATTCTCTCTGTATTATTGAGGTAAAGGACTTTCTCTCTTCTCAGTCCAAAATGAATCCTCTCTAATGTGACCTCATCCCAAAGTTTCACCCGGGCAAATCAAATCAGTGATATTTTCTCTTTAACATGAAGCATAGCACATAAACGTGCTTATCTGACAGAACCACAGTGAATACGGGGTTAGCTTCCTGTTCTGTCACACGAAATACTGACAGACGCTGTTACAGAAGACACGTTAGTTTTTTTCTGTTTGTTTTTTTTTTTTTTAAATTAAGTTTCTGAGTTGCACAGATTTCCTCAGGTTGTGTATGTTTTCATTGTCAGGTTGCTGCTGGGACTAGATCCAAGTCTAAGCCTACTCATGCATCACAAATGTGAAGTGGAAGTCTGTGTTTGAACCATCAACTTAAGGCTTCAACTTAGAAAATGTCTTACCACATGCATACAGATTTTTAAAGTAATCTAAACACAGTCAGTCATTTTATTGTAGCCAGGCTGGATTCACATTGTAGGCTGACTGCAGGTCTTCAGATTTAAACTAGTGGTTGGTAGCACTTGCCTAAAAAAGTAAAATTCTCTCTCCTTTTACACCGACACATTTCTTACCTAATTGGATCCAAACTGGCTATGGCTATGTCAACAGTGAGTAGTTCTCCGAATCGATGGATGGTATGTTTGGCAGCTTTAACTAAACTTTAGCTATTTGAAATGGCATCTGGTTTCAGTTTTTTTCTTTAAGTTTCAAATATTATTTGAAAACTACCTTCACCTCCCTTACCACTGCTTTTATCCATGCTTTGTTTCCCAACACACCTGCATGTGTCGCCATGGATACGCTTGTTGTTTGTCATCCAAAATAACCAGTGGATACTTTTTGTGTCATTCCACACAACCTTTAAAGGGAGTTAATGTAACGATTGATAAAATCCCACAAGAACACATTCAGGGACATGAATCTGTTTTCACAGAGATGGTGAGGACCAGAAGGGTTTGTCACATTATTGGCACCAGTGGTGAAGTAAATTAATCTTTTCTGGCTGTAGGCTAATTTTGAACTAACCAGGCAGTGAACTATTTGGTTTTGTACAATCTGTTGACAGTCTAGAGTCCTGGTTCCTTTAATTTACCAATAATTATCAAACATGTACAGTAGATTTGTGTTAATTTTTCATATAGAAAAATAATTGTCACCTGCTGTCTATTTGTGGCTTCACTTGTTATTTAAAAAAGACAGGATGCACCTTGCATTGCTCTTATTAGCAATATTTGACAGGTTCCAGTTATAAATCATCCCTGAATTGAATGGGCAACTTTTCCCACCTGCCCTGCACCTCTTGTGTGATCATAAAACTTCTAATAAACATAAAATATGTTGGTTGGTTGCTGCCTCTTACACTGCTGACACAGCAAGATTTTATTATGAGTTATGGCTGCAAACAGCAGGGATCCTTGAGTAGATTAGAAAACACATCTTCAGAATGTTTCTACTTTATTTATATCCATCAATCCCACAATTTTTTTTCTTTTTTCCTGTTTTGCAACAGAGTTGGAACATTTTCAAGGAGTTTTAGTTTGGCTTATTTTTTTTTTATCTGCAGTTGTAAAACTATCTGAAACGGTGCTGGAACATTGTGCTCATATTGTATTTTTGCACTTCCAAATATCGAATACATCATGGAGGAGCCAAGACATACAAGTTGCAAAACTAGGGTTGGCAAATTCAAATTGCATTAAGTCCCTCAGAAGCAGCTCTTTACTGTCTCTCCTATTTCAAGCCTCCTCTTTGTCCTCTTTTTCTTCACCACAAATCTTTCATATCCTCGTCTTTCCTCAGGATTTCCATCTTTTGATCACCTCTCGACTCATCGCCTCCCCCTCCTAGAGCAGAGTGATTTATTATCATGTTCCTTTTTTCCTGCTGAAACACCATTACTGTCAAAGTCACAATGGAGACACACGAGCGCCCTTCAACATTCACTGGGCGCGTCTTAATGGACGCCAAATACATGAACAACACGCAACACATTGAGAAAAATTAAACAGAAAAGGAAGTTAAAAATAAAAATGCTTAAAGTATCTCAGATGGAGTCAGTGGGACAAGAATTGGGTTTTTTTCAGTGACCATCCAAAGTAATTGCCATCTAAAACTCTAAACTATCTGTCCATATGATAAGAAAGAGGAAATATTAAAGCAGAGGGAGAAAAAGGGATGTGAATAAGTATAGAGGGAATGTAAAAGAGTGAAAGGGTACTGCGGCTGTGTGTCATAGAGTCCCCAGAGTTCTAATTATCACTGTATGAATTATTACATCTGTAACTTTTGGATCTCCCCTGGAGTCTCAGCTGCTGCCTCCACCCATAAACACCTCTAGACCACCCTCCACTTCAGGCTATTTCTCCTCCCTCTCCTTTATTCCCGCTCCCTCTCTTCCCGTCTCATCCAAAAACATCTACATGCTTCACTAGTCATTTCGAGTCTTTCAAGTCACTTGAAAGCTTTAATCTAAGTGGAGAGGTCTCATTCCTGTTTAAATCTGAAAGCTTGAAGTTTTTATACACTTTTTTTTTTTTTACCAGCTGAACTTGTACAAATGTGTTTAAGTTGTAGCAGGTTTTTATTTTAACAATATTACAGATGTGATTTTGTTTAGTCAAGTTATTTCAGACATTTGTTGGTGTTTTAAGTTCTGTTATGCTGCTCTTGGCAGTTGGTGGTTACCATAGTAACCACCAACTGGGGGAGGAGCTGTTGGTGGTTACCATAGTAACCACCAACAGCTCCTCCCCATTTTTTCTGTTGCTGTTAGTAATTTTCTGTGTTTTCTTTACAAGTATTATATTTTAACATACATTTTAGACAAATTTAATTATATATGGTGTTTCATGAGTAATTTTGCCATTTCGAATACGTTTTTAACAGATTTTATTATTAATGTTGCCCATTTTAGGTATCTTTAATTTAACAAATTGCTAACTGCTGCTAACTGCTTATTGGGAGCTATTGCTTTGTAGTTATTTAGGGCTATTGTATTTTATTTAATGTATAGGGACAGAATGTGCTGGACTTATATTAACTACCAACTTGATTTCCTCTTTTGTTAGAATAAATACAGTGAACCTGAGTGTGTCTGTCCTGAAGTCGACCTACTGGACCTGAGACGAACAGGTTCAGTCATTATCAATATATTAATTGAAAATGGTTTCTAAACAAAAATTTTATCATTTATCACAATAATTTCTGGGATCATTTATCATCCAGCAGAATTTGTTATCATGACAGGCCTGCTTTGTAGTTTTCCCTGTTTATGGTCCTCACATCAATCATTTGGCCACATTAACGTATGTGTTTCCATAGTAACAATGTTAATGTGTTCATTAGAAAGGGTTTCTGTGTGAAGGAGAGGCTACAAACCTACATGTGTGAGCGCCTTACCTGGTATGGATACAGAGTGACTCCTCCATTAGTCCGGTTCTGGTGCTGATGGGCCTGCAGAGCCGCTGCGCTCAGAACCGCTCCCCCACTGTTATTACTGGGACTGCTTACACTGCTCACTGGTTGCTGCTGGGCACCGGCTTTCCCTGAGCTGGGCGAGCCATTCCTTCGGTCCACCCCCGCTCCCAGACCCAAGGAGCTGGGTTTGGATCCCAGTCTGTGTCCTGATCCTTGGAGCTGTTGAGTTGTGGGACCACAGCTGGACGTTTGCCCCCCTGAGGGACTCCCTTGACTGGGGGTAGACTGTCCATGGATCGGGCTCGGTGTCGGGGTCTGACTGGGGCTTGGAGAAGGCGACTGCGAAGATGAGAGAGGAGTGTATGGAGCAGTCACAGAAGAGGATGGGAGAACCGAAGGAGCCCATTCACGTGAACCTGGAACTCCTGGCGGTCCCGAGGCGCCTGCTGGTCCTGGAGGTCCATGAGATGCGTATCGAGCTGGAGGCGAAGAAGTGGGAGACAGATCCCACTGATCCAGGGTGAGGACCATGCGCACAGCTTCCTGTTTGAGCTGAGTGAGGTGAGTAGCGCAGACATCGCAACGACTGTCGCGCTCGTTCCACGCGCGCCGAGAACTGTTGGGCACCTGAAGCTTGTCGTGGAGGAGGAGTGAGAAGGATGGATCCTGGAGGAGAGATGAAGACCAACGGGTTAGATTAAAGGTGACCTGTTATACTTCATCAAACAGGTTTAGACAGGTTTATTCAAAACATGGATAATGGGATTTTAGTCAGACCAGTTCTGCCTATTGTTGATTGCTTCAGAATGAGCTACTTCTGGCCATGGCCTCCCAAACTCAACATTTACATTCACACTCAAAGTGGCTGCAAACAGATGCACAATTATACATCTTTGAAAAGCATTAGTAGAGCCTCCTGCACAACCAAGAAGAATGCAGCAAATTGTTTCTGAGTAGTTAGTCAACAACAAAACACTTGTCTTTTCCAGCAGCCATTGTACACCGCATATAATGGTAAAACCAACTGACCAAACATACTGGGTTGCTAGGTGATGAGCTGGGCTCGGCTGGAGTTGCTAGGTAACGGCACAGTGCCAGTTGAATGTGACAACAATTGAGAAATTTATGAAATTACTCATTTTCTAGATGTCAAAAACTATTAACTTAGTGCCAAAAACAACTGGGTGTTTTTTAAGAGCTTAGACTGTTTTTAGAATAAGTTGAGACCCAAATGGAAGCATGAAATGAAAATCAAGGGAGTAATAATTCAACGGTTAACTATGTAGAACCAACTATGATAATATTTACAAAAAAGAAAAGTTAATATGTTCTGCCAACATGATAAAAAATAATCAAAACTCTTGAAAGATTAATGTTGGAGGAAGAGAAATTCATATTTTACAAGTTTACACAGTTTGACTTGTATGCTTCTAAATGTGAAAAACTCACATTTAGACATTTTCTGCTTATTTCCTTCATACATTTAATATGAACTAAAATATAAAAGACAAAGCAACCACTCATATTTAGAAAATACACAAACATACTTGCTTAACTGTTGTGGCAAATACTTTCATATTACATAAACTCAAATATTCATACCGAACATTTCTGTATTAAACGTTTTCTTCATGGCTGTGATGTGATATTTTAAATGTTTTTTCATTGGCTGTAAGTGTAAAATCATTATAATTAACAGAATTGAAGGCTTAAAAACATCAGTCTGTGCTTAATTAATTAATCTACCTACATAATGTGTTACACTCAGAGTTGAGTTAATGAAATAAATTAAAATTTCAATTATATTCTAATTTATTGATTGAATGTGTAACCTGAAGACATAAAAGCAACATTCAGACTGTAAAAACACATTTTCTTCCATAAAAAGCCATTAAAAGCCGTGTGGTGCAGAGGAAGTTCCCTAATAAAGGTGACATTTCTTCTTCTGGCGTCTTCAAGCTTGTTTAACCTTTTCAAGAACAGTGCAGATTAGACGACGCTCGTTTTGTAATGGTTGGGTACGACATTTGGATTAGTGGAACACGAAAAATAATTCCTAGCTTTTTAGGATGTATTTTTTCATCTTCTGCTATCCTTTTTCATCAAAATCTAATATACCTGCTGCTTCTGGTTCTGATTCTGGTTCTGGTTCTGGTCTGCATCCCCAAAACCAAGCACGGAGAACAAACTTCCAGAAATATGCAAAAAATACTGAGTTCCTTCAAATGAAGGATAAAACCCACCTGTTTGAGCTGATTAATAACAACTGGAACATTGAGTATTTCTTGATGGCAACTTTTACTATCATAAAAAGCATGTTGAATTGCCTTGTTGCTGAAATGTGCCATCAAAATAAACTGTACTTGACATGTGAGGTAATATAAGAAGCGATGTGAGGGCAGCTTAAGGAGCTCTGGAAAAGCCAGTTGGATTTATTTACCTTTGATGTTACCTTGCTGTGGATTATAACTGCTATCCTCTTTTAAAGAAACATGGGAGCACTGTATGGCTTTTAGTTCATGTTTATGGATTTAAAATGAGGAGAAGGGATTCAGTGTCGCTGCAGAGACTTTTGTTTGGTCCACTGGTGAGGATTTCCACTAATGTTAGTTTGGACTGAATTTCATGGCAATCTCACTTTAGTTACTTTATAAAAATAACTGATGCCACGTTATACAAGCTGTCCAAAATAAACGATATCATTCAGTGGATAGAAGAGATTAAAAAGTCCAAAAAGGTTTGCAGACTGGATTTGAAAATTATGATTTGGCAGTGGGTGAAAAATGAAAGTTTGTTTACATTTTGCAAGTTTGTGCTGTTGCAGAATCAATCTTAAAGCAACCGAGATTCAGAACCTGCATATATTTATTAATCCTTGCAGATCAAACTGATTGTTTGAGGCAAAAATAATTATGCAGGTTCTATTTAAACGCTGTTTATAAAGTCACAGTGTGACTGTGTAAGTAAAGTAATATTGTCAAAAATACAACCTTTGTAGAAATATTAAGATATAAATATTTTACCAAAGATTGTAAGCTAAGCAGCTAAACATTGCACTGTTTTTTGGAGGGTCTCTGTTGGTGGTAATTCTGTCTTGTAGCGCCTCGTTTATGTAAATAAATGTAATGCGCCTTTAGTGAGCTCATGGATTTGCACTAAAGGAAGCAGTCGATAGCGGTAGTAAAGTGTGGGCTGAGCGTGCAGAATCTGTGTTTCCAGTCTAATTGGAACCACTTGTCCAGAACAAAGCTGCTCTAAATCTCCTGCCATCCCTTTTTGGGCTAAATCTCAGAGATAACAAGCAAAAGCACAAACACAGATACGAATCACAGATTTAACTTTTCTGATCTCAGTGAAAAAAAATTTTTTGTTGCAATTTCCACAAAGCATTAAAAACTTATCTGACAAAACTCACCGAGTAGAAACATGTTTTTTATTTTAAAAAATAGTAATGCTGATGACTGCTGAAAAATAGTATATAACTGTAGATGGGTTTGCAGTGAGTCTGTTAAATCAATGTTTTCCTACATCATCAGAATGTTTCTTGCAAAATCAGTCAAAGGTTTTCACACCTTTTTTGCTACAACTTCAAACAAAAGCATTTATTTTCCCCTCTAAACTTTATTTTACTGAAGAAGCATATTCCCCAAAGCTTGAATTTCTTTCCATTCTTCATCTTGTTCACATTAAAACCTCTTCAAAGTGCCTGAATGACCTGAGATCTCTGCGGTTCAGTCCAGGAGCGCAGGAAAGAATCTGCAGAGTGAGATGTTAATCAAAGTGACGTGTTGGCTCTGTCTGTTTATTGACTTTTAATCAATACATGAGTTATAACCACACTGAGCTCACATGTGTGTATATGTGCCGCCAATTATTAAGCCTGTGATAGACGGTTCCCAGCAGAACAAAACGGGCAGATATGAGGACGCAAAGACAGATGATTGACAGAAAAACACAGAAAACCTTCAGAGAATTAGATGTGATTTATTAAGCCTCCGCTCGTGTGGAGAGACATTTTTCTGTTAGTTTGCTCCACTGTTCGTTTATTCCAATCGGCTGAAAGAACAGCTTGCAGACTCTGAATGAATGAGTCTCTCTCACTAAAAGAATCTGCTACTTTTTCTCTATCAATGTACCCAGTTGTCCATGTCTGAGTGCTTATGTGGATACAAAGCAACACTTCATCTAATCGTAAAATACCCCTTCTTAATGTGAGAGCCACCTCCTCGGCTATATAAACAAACCACACAACCACAAGATACACACACACACACAGCAGGACCCTCTGTGTGTGTGTGGGCGCGTGGTGTTTAGAGATAAAGAGTACCTTGTAATATGTGCAAACCAGTCAAAACACTAGTCTGGTACGAGGAAGATTGAGGTCAAATCTGGTGCTGGATGTACCAGATATCTTGATTTTTCTTTGGAAAAGTTTTCATTCAACCATCTAAATATATTCCCATTAAAGTCAGAGTAGCGGCGGGTCACAGACTCTCTATTTTCACACGATGATTTGGGCAAATTTCAGTTAAATTTATTGTGCAGCTCAGTGTGATGGACTGGATTTTCAGAATATAGATGTGGCATTTTCTAAGTTTTTATTTGTAAAATAGAATTACAAGGGGTTTGAAGGTGTGTGAATATTTATGCAAACGACTGTAAGTGAAAATGGAGCTGAAGCAGAGCTGTTTGCTGCACATTTAATCTGATTGTGGTCCTCCTGACCCCTCTGTGACCCTGAAGCATAGTCCATTAAACACGTCTTGGATTAAAGCCAATAAACCTGAAACTGAGTGGAAACACTGTTTTTAGATGCAATCAAGCAGTTTAAACAAAGAAAATACACTATGAACATTAGAGGAAAGGTTTATTTAAACATTTATTTTTTGTTAATATGAAGAAAAAATACTTTTAGTCTGAAGTGTAATGTCAAAGAAGTGGAAGTATGAAGCTATCGATATTTCCCCTCCTTATCCACCTACATAATCTCACATTGATTATATGTATAATCCCTACATATAACAACTAAACCAAAACATTCTACATCTTTTGATTCAGTTTCTGATTTTTCAGAGTAATAACACTTTATTTTATCATAACCTCATGTTTCCGTGGATTAAAGTTTCCAAACGTTTCCCTTATCCACACGCATCTTTACTACCAGAGATCAGTCCAAGCACTCAGAAAACAATTGTACAATAGCAGATGGACAAAGTTTTTTTGTTTTCGTCACATCTTTTAATGAGCTTATGGTTACATAACGATGTCTGGATGTTGCTGTCATAGTCTCTGCAGTCACATCTATCCATCTCTTCAAGCTTCGCCAACGAGTTTATCAGTATTCTCTGAGTGACTCAATCAGTCTCAGCAGCGCTGCAGACTGGCAGTGTGTGTGTGCGTGTGTGTGTGTGTGATTCATTTCCTCCTGTAAGGGTAAACACAGCCTGAGCAGCAACGATGGAGCGACAAAAAAAGAGAAAGCAGCTTCCAAGCTGACTGAACAGTGACCTAACTGACTCTCAGTGTGTGTGTGTGTGTGTGTGTGTGTGTGTGTGTGTGTGTGTGTGTGTGTGTGTGGCGGCTGGAGAAGGACACAGACAGATGCTATTACTGAGATCTGATGGGAAAAGACAACTCGGTGCTATTTGCTCTCTCGTTTCTTTGTG